CCCTTTAGTTCCTTTAAAAACAAATTAATTTTAACTTTATATATTTCACATACTGCACATTAACAATATGCAAAATCATTTTATTTACACTTGTTGCATATTTAAATTTACAGCAGAGCTCTGCTTTAAATAAAGTTATTTTAGGTGAAACCTGGCCAAAGTTAGCAACATAAAGTGTGAGTATTTTTTACTTTAATAAGATGTGTTCAAATTTAGAGTTTTTTTTTGAAAAATTAAGACAATTTAACCTAATAAGTTCAATAGCTGCATGCATCATTTACAACTTAGGTGTGATTCTCATCGCTGCACAAAAACTTGTTGGAATTGAAACACTTTTTTGTTTGAGACGATCCTCCGGTGAGAGAATGTTTGTGTTCTCCATTAATATGTATTTTTTCTGCAGCATGCCGTTCTGGCTCCTGGCCACTCAACCTTTACTCATTGTGAGCAGAATCTCTTTTCCACTCTCCAATCTGGCCACCTGCCCTCCCGCCGCCTCATTGGCGACACCTTACTGCCACCCAGTGGCGGCGGCTGGTACTGCGGCCGCCAGCTGCAGGGGGAGGCAGGGAGAACTGTTTACAAGTGGCATTTGGCCCTAATTAAAAGCAGCGCTTGTTGGAGCACCAGGTCTGCAGAGGGGCTGGCGTCCAGGGCGATGCAGGCCGGGCCGACGATCCGCCGATAAGCTTCCTCTACTCTGCAGCAAAACACAAACACATCGACCAATAAGTGAGAGTGTGAGGATATAAACAGGATGGTTTTGATGCTTTTTATTTCACAGAAAAGAAACAACCCAGATGGCTGAGAGTGCAGCTTTTCTCTTCAGTCCAATAAAAAGCGTCTTCCTAACTCCATCTGTTTTGTAATTCTGCTGGCCCAACATCTGGCCGTCCCATGTGGACAGGCCATTACGTCAGCGCAGAAGATGAATGAAAGCAGCTATCGACCTGTCTGAGCAGCGACTAACTGGGCCGGCAGCGGCTGCGAGTTTGGACCGGCTTAATGGAGCACAGCAGCTCGGCAACTAATCACCTGCTTTTTCTCATCAGCCGCTTCCCCCGCGGGACGGTAATTGATTGTTAAGCGTTTGATGGATAAGACGAAGACTGAGGTGGCCTGACTGGGAAAGAGATGCGCAGTTTGCAGCCATCTGTAACTTCAAACACAGACATCTCCCTAAAATATAACATGTTTGTTCACATGTGACAATCTGGCATCAAAAACTATTCATGGATTTAATAGCACTGCAAAAACGCAAAATCGTACCAAGTAGTTTTTCCTCTATTCTCTTACTAGATTGAAAATAAGATAAAACTAACTGAAACGTAACTTTTCAGCAAAATAATGAGCTTTTTTTAAATCGATAAATCTTTAATATTAATTTTAAAAAGTACTAGTTCCACTGGCAGATTGTTTCATTTATATCATGGGCAAAATGTCTTTCAATAAGGTACGTAAAGGAACTGGAGTTGGACCTTTGATCCGATTCTCAAACATATCTGTATCAAACATTCTTGTCTAACCTGATTCTGAACAGTTTGTTGTGATCCAGCTCCTCCTCTTCGTCGGTCTTCATCAGACCTCTGTTCCTCAGCCTCCTCTTCCTCTCCTCTGGGTCCAGGGTGAGTACGATCACCAGGCTGGGCTGCAGGAGGTCACTGGGCCAACGGTACACCTCGGCGCCCTCGTGTGGAAGGTTACTGACTGGGCCAGTTACGGCGGTGGCGATGGCGTAGGCCGCTGTGCTGTGCCAGAACCTGGGGACAGATCAAACATGGCCGACTGAAGGTGAGCGACAATAAGACTGAAATATTAAAGGTGCTTCCTTGAACAGCTTAGGGTTTATCTATGGCCTGTACAAAACATGTTCATTGAATATTGTGCACAAAATCATTCTTTGATAAATCTGCTTATTTTCAGCTGTTTTAGGCCGTCTTGTCACTTGTCCCCTGGTGATCCAGGTAACGAGCACCAATCAGATTGGTGCTCGTTACATTCAGTTTGTTTTTGAAACAGACACCAAAAATCATGAATTAATAGCCAATTAACAGCTGGGTGTTTTTTAAAGTGTTTTTAGAAGCAGCAGAATTAAAAACATGCAGAATTTGGTGAGTTCATTTCAGAGTTCATCGCTGTCTAACATGACGGTCCAACATCTTGCCTGTCGACGATGACAGGAGACTTGCTGGCCTCTTGGTTTATCTGCTCAGCAGTGATGTAGTTGCCCACGGCGTAGAAAGCCCTCCGGATGAGCGGCGGTTCTCGATCAAAGCACCCTCTAGAGGCGGACAAGCACTGGGGAGGCGACCGCAGGAGCGTCGCCCCCAGAAAGTCCCGCAGAGACTCCGTCAGCGTCGTCTTTCCTAAAGAACCAAAGAGAAAACATTTGTCACTCTCTCGTCATTAAAGAGAGTCCACTGGACTCGGTGGAGTCTGAGACGATTCAATAAGCCATTTCCAAAGTGATGTAACTTTTCTGAGGTCATGATACGTGATATTCCATTAGGCGGAGCGCACTGACGGGTAATGTTTTTAGCAGAGAACAGCCACCCATCAGGCCGATCCTGTGTTTATTTATGAGGTAATGGCATTAACCTGTGGCATCCAGGCCCTCTATGACAATAACTGGGAAGTCTGGTTTTCTTCTGGCATCCAGGCTGCTGGGAAGCATCTCCAGTACAGACCGGGTCTCTGGGATGATGTCACCACACTGCAGAAAAACGGGGGAAATCAGCTCACTGCAGATCAGGAGGGAGTCAAAACGGCTGCTGCATCTTGAAAAATCAAGTTTTTTACTGGTAATAATCTGAGTATTTAAACATGTAAAGAAAAATAGAGACTGGATGCAGAACAACTGTGAAATCTGTCAAACTTTGACTAGGACATGGGTCAGCAACCATTCCAATCCTAACTCATTTTTGCCTTTGCACGATCTGAGCAAAGTTGCTATGACCCTTCAAAATAAAATGAATAAACCAATAAAAATAGACTTTCTGATAAAGCCCAAACTTTTTGAGACCAAGTTTTTTTCTCACCAGCCGACTGAGATCATTTTCACAGAAAATGACTCAAATATTGTTTTTATAGCTGAGGATAAATGTGTTAAATTGAGAAATTAAAAACTTTTCTTTTAATACAGCAAATTTGCAAAATCCTTTTCACAATGAATTACATCCCTTTCTAACATTGATTTCATAAAAGATTTAAACTTAAAAGCATTTTTGACTAAAAAACAAGGACGTGGAGACCCTGCAGTACCATTCCCCGCCACATAAGTGCGCCATTGCGCCACATGTTGCAACCAGACTTGCTATTTTTCTCTACCTGTTTGAGCACCGCGCAGGCCTCCTGCAGGCTGTGGAAAACATCAGAGTTCATCATGTTGAGAACTGATGGATGATGTTCTGGTGTTTCTGAAGGCACCACGTGGAACCGGACCCGGTTCTCCTCAGACTGGTACCAGAGACACTGAGTCCACTGCTGGCCCTCTTCACTCTGACAGTATGAACACACCAGCACGGGGTTTCTCTGCTCCAGATCCGTTAAAATGCCCTCAATCAGGGATGAATTCCCAGCCCGGCTGTGGAGGAAGAATCCTTTGAGCAGCGAGCCGCTCTGGTTCGGGATGAAGGAGGACATGGACCGGAGCCCGGAGCCCGGGGGCAGCTGCCTCTGCAGCCGGTCCCTCAGCTCCCAGTGGAACCGGTCCCCTGTGACCCGGTCCCCGCTGCAGACCAGCAGGGAGTAACACCTGTCCTGCTTCTGGACCCCGCTGAACACATCAGGCGGTACCGGTTCCCCGCAGAGCTGCTCTCTGAGCCCAAAGTACCGCGGCGCTCCGTCCACCTCCACGGAGAAAACACGGGACGACCACCGCTGCACGAGCTGCTTCAGGTGCCGGGCCATGTTCCGGTTCTGGTACCGGCGGGTTTCGGTGCAGCTGCAGTCGGCTTTGGTCGGGAAAACGAAACTTACCGAGCAGAGAAGGAAAAACGAAACTTAGAGCTGCGACGCCTGCAGGGCGCAGCAGAGAATGTTTCCCACGAATCCAAAAGTTAAACTCAGGGTTGAATGTTTTCAGACCTTTGATCAGTTCAAGTCAATCAATCAATCAACCATGTTTATTTGTATTGGACATTTCAGCAATAAGTTCAAAGAGCTTATACAAAATACAAAGTCATAAAATACTGACATGCATTTCAGACTATTCCAGTAAAAACACCTTGTAAATAATTCAGCATTTTTCTGTCTGTTCATATATTAGGATATAGGCTACATATCCTAGTTTTTAACACTTTTTTTCAACTACATTCAAAATTGTATTTATTTCATGTTGGAAATTTTGAAAACTCAAAAGAAATATTTTAAAAATCAAGGCAACCAAAATCATTTCATAAAGCAAACTCAACATATAATAAAACAAAATTAGCTTTAGGGAAGAAACTGAGGCGAATATGTTCTCTGTGCAGGAGCTTGGATATGTAGCAAACTGGCACCCTACCTAGAGTTTAAAAAGCTCGGCTTCACCACAACGATAAATTATTGTTTGTTACAAAGTTTAGCTTTATTTGTGTTCAACAAAAAGGCAAAGTTATTTACTTCATAAAACATCGTTCAGTTATCAACTATGAAATCAAACAATATTAGATTTTACCAAAAGTCATCAACACACATCAAATATGAAACATGTTTTTAAGTGAAGCAAAATTAACTGACAATAATTTTAAAGTATTGTAATTTCACTCTAATATGTGATTATGGTGATTTGAGGCGAATAGGCATTAAAAAAGAAAACATAATATTTATGCATATTTTCATACTTTTCTCTATATATACTATAGCAAGTTGGGTCAGGGTGCCCATAAGCCCCCCCTTACTGGCGCCACTGGTTATTATAACCAGCGCGACTTTCGGTTCCATTTCTAATGTAAATGTTGCTAAGAGCCTCTGAAGGCACTTTATGAAAAACATCTTTATCATCTCTGCAGAAACCCAAACTAAACGTGCAGCGTCACATTTTTCCCTCATCAGATCATCATCTGGTTTCGCTTTCGATGTTTGTAAACAGAAACTTTGCGGCCGCTCAGCTGACCGCCTCCAGAGCCGCGCCGCTATTTAACCAGCAGCCCCGCAGGATCCCGCATTCTGCAGCCCCAGCAGCCGGACGTCAACCTCTGACTGCAACATGTCTGGAGTTTCTGCCGGCGCCCTGCTGCAGCTCTGCATCAGCACCATCCTCGGCTTTTTTTCGGGCGTCTTTTCCAAAGTTTTCTCCTGGTCCAAAGGAGCCTGCGGGGCCACAAACTCCCTGGTTCCGAGCAGCCAGTGGGAGCAACGCAAAGACCTGGATGTGACGACCCCAACCAGCGTCAACTACCACTTCACCCGCAAATGCAACTATAAATGCGGGTTTTGTTTCCACACCGCAAAAACTTCCTTCGTCCTTCCTTTGGAGGAGGCAAAAAGGGGCCTGAGGCTTCTGAGAGAAGCAGGTAACACTTCCGGATTAAAAGCATCAAATTCTGTGTTATTGATCAGAACCAGATGACAGTAACATTTGTGGTTTAAAGGGATGGAAAAGATCAATTTCTCCGGCGGGGAGCCGTTTCTGCATGAGCGGGGAGACTTCCTGGGGAGGATGGTGGAGTTCTGCAAGGCGGAGCTGCAGCTGCCCAGCGTCAGCATCGTCAGCAACGGCAGCATGATTAAAGAGACATGGTTCCAGAAATACGGTGAGGCCCAACTTTAACTAACTGCTTTAAAAAGTCAAACTCAGATATTCATCCATCTGTGCCTCAATTATAAGACTTTTAAAGTATTTTCAGTGATGATACGTTTCCATTGATCATATAATTGCACAAATTGATATAAAAAGAAGTTTGCTTAATCGAAAAAGACCAATTTATTAAAATCTCTCCTGTTACTATAAAAAGTTTTGATGAGGTTTTTTTTTTTTGGACCTGTGGAAATAAATTTCACACGATTAACAACAGGATGTTACCACTGATGGAAAATACGAAGGAGACAGGAAGTGGTTGGAGGATGATGGCGCTACATGTTTTTCAATGACTTTGTTTTAACAACCTTATTCACATGTGATTTTAATTGCATTTCTTATTTAATGGACACACCACATTTTCTTACATTAGCAGAATATTGGCAAAGTTTTGTGCATATTTGTAATGGAAAGACAGTTATTGACTGGAAGTTTAGTGGAAGGTAAAAATATGTTGGTCGACTGTTTTACACGTCCAAAATAAGCAAAGAAAGAACAGAGTTATGCCAAAAGTAATTATACTAGCACAACTGCTAATGCATTTGCATTTTGTTGACCCTTCTGGGCCACCGTAAATGAACTCTCATCATTTGCTTTGTGCAGGAGACTTTTTGGACATTCTGGCAATCTCCTGTGACAGTTTTGATGAAGAAACCAACCAGATGATCGGCAGATCTCAGGGCAAGAAGAGTCACATCGAGAACCTCTTCAAGATCCGCAGATGGTGTCAGCAGTACAAAGTGGCGTTCAAGATCAACTCGGTTGTCAACACCTTCAACGTTGACGAAGATATGAGCGAACAGATCAACCAGCTCAATCCGGTCCGCTGGAAGGTAAAAACAGTTGGTATGTTTTGAAACGTGTCCCAGCCAGAAGGGAAACTGATGGGTTTTCTCCTGGTTTTGCTCAGGTGTTCCAGTGTCTGCTGATCGATGGAGAGAACGCTGGAGAGGCGGCGCTGAGGGAGGCGGAGAGGTTCGTCATCACTGACCAGCAGTTTCAGGACTTCCTGGACCGTCACCAGGCCGTTTCCTGCCTCGTTCCAGAGTCCAACGAGAAGGTCAGCCACTGAACCTCGTTACGCATCTGACCACTGACACGGTGTAGCTTTAGCTGTAGCTTTAGCTGTAGCTTTAGCTGTAGCTTTAGCTGTAGCTTTAGCTGTAGCTTTAGCTCACAAACCCCACTTAACAAGCAACCTCTGACTGCAACAGTTGCTCTCATAGGTAGTTCATACAGCTTAATATTTTTGTCATACTGTTGTGATAACAATAAAATTAATGAGAACTATTTATTTCTAGTTTTTCGGTGTTAACTGACCTGAGCTGCATTTCTGTCTGATTGTGCTGTCAAACATTTTGAAAATAAATTCACTTAACGACTGTAAACTTCTCATGTTCAGCGAAGCTAGAACATGAGAACACAAGCACATGAGAACACGAGCACATGAGAACACGAGAACATGAGAACACGAGCACATGAGAACACGAGAACACGAGAACACGAGAACATGAGAACACGAGCACATGAGAACATGAGAACACGAGCACATGAGATGAGAACATGAGATGAGCACATGAGATGAGCAGAGAACACGAGCCCATGAGACGAGCACACGAGAACATGAGAACATGAGAAGGAAAAAACTGTAACCCAACTAACTCACCCGTTGTTACCTAGCAACAACCCTTCATTGCTAGGTAACAACAAGTTGTTGCCTAGGAACTTGTTGCACTGTTTTTTCCACCATAACTGCTTAGAAACAGAAAACATCATATTCACATTGAAATCAGTTTTCAAAACATGCAAAACTTCCTGTTGTAGTTTTGATTCTGTAGGATTAAAACCTATTTGTTGCTTTAACAGATGAGGAACTCGTACCTGATCCTGGATGAATATGTGAGTACTTCCTGTTGCTAACACTTTGCAGCGCTGCGTGTGTTCAGGTTGAAACATTAACCGTGGCGTCTTCTGTTCTTCTTCTTTGTGATTTTCAATTGTTTTCGCATGATTTTTCTTGCTTCGTTTCCTCTGTCAGACTCGTTTCCCCTCCTACATCCGTGACAGACCATCGACTCGAGGACGCCATCACGAGAAAATGTTTCTGAAGAGAGGCGGGAAATACGTTTGGAGCAAAGCTGACATGAAGCTGGACTGGTGAAACAAATCGGAAACGTCTCGGGTTTTATGCACTTACTTCACTTTGCAACTTGTAGTTTTTGAAGTGTTACAATGTTGAGCTGTGATTTTTGTAAATGTCTTAAGATTAAGATCATCTTTGAGTGTGTTGTAATTTGTTTATATTGTTGATGTAAAGTTTAAATTAAAATAAGTTTTATTTTTGCTGACTGGATCAGTTTCAACTTGAACAATTTTATGAACTTCTTTATTTTTTTCTTTCTCTGTGTAAATTTTCCCCCTTATAAACTCAATTTTATGCAATTTCATAGTTTTTCTTCCTTTAATTAATTCCTACATTTTCTTATTACCATTTATTACTTCATTGAATCTTTTCCTTGTTTGTCTCTTGTGTTTTAATGTCTGCATTTCTGTTTTTTACCGATGTAAATAACTTTGTGTCATACGCCTTATTGATGGTTAATTTTTCAAAGTCAAATTTTCACCATAATATTCATTCATTTATAAATGTCACAGTTTCAAACTAAATATTTAGTTAGTGGGTTGAATATCTGGTTCCAAACTGCATGTTTTAAAATCACTTGAGTTGTTTTTCACTTTTTGGCTTATCAAGTAGAAGAAAAAAATAATTTACATTTCACAAAACATCAACACTAAAGGTTAATATTTTGTAGCACTGCTAACTAAATGTCATGCAATTAGAAATATGCTAAATGTTGAACAATGGTGACAGTTTATATGCATGAAGATATTTTAAAGAAATGTTCAGTAATTAAATGACAAATTATTTACACCTCAAATTATTCGAATTATTATGAATATGATATAGTTCATATATAATTCTCTCCATGTTTAAACAATTTATGTTTCCCTGCTGTTCACATTTTACCGCCCATTATAAGATCATTTATGATTATAAGGTGGCGTATGATTGAGTTTATCAAACTCAAACATACGGCCCTGTTTGGGTTTGATAAACATACGGCTGCCCAGGAGGCCAGCCGTGACTTTAATGATTCATAAAGGTTCATGATGTTTTGATGAACTGCAGTGAGAAATGATCAAATAAATATATAAATAATTATCCATGATTTCAACATACTATTTTTGCTCTATTTATTTAGTTTACAATTAATTATTTAGTTGCTTTCAGTTTTATTTTATATATGACCACAATACATATTTATAATTTTATTGTCAGTTAGCTTGCATTGTGTTGTTTTTGTTTCTGTGGATCATTTTTTGGAATATCAACTTTTTTTATGTCAGAATAATGAAGGATTATCTGACTCTATTTTCCAGAATATTATTTTTTCTTCTTTTCCGCAGTAAATAAATCAACATAAAAACAAAAAATCTGATTTTACAGACAAGACAGAAATATTCAGTAATTTATGTGTTTACAGCTTTGTTGTTTGTACTCTTTTAAATGGTGAATGAAAATAGTCCAATTTCCGAAACAAAACTGTAAAAAAGTTGCGAAAATGATCTGAGCCTAAAACTGGTTTAAATGTAATGGAACCGTTCAGCCAGCAGAGGGAGCTGTCGGGAGTGAAACGAGCTGCAGGTCCTGACTCCGCCTCTGGGCGGCAGTGTTGCGCAGCCCACTGGAAGCCTTTCCTTGTAGACAAATGGCGTCTCTTCAGCGAGCAGCAGCTGATTCCCCACCGAGAACGGCAGCAGGGACGGAGGGGAGGTAAACACGCCGCCCCCGGATTTCCTCGCAGCGGGACGGTCCGCCGCTTTCTGCGGAATCTGCGCCGCATCCTGACGGCCGGAGTCGCTTTGTGGAGAGTTTGGAGCCTCCGTGGTGTGAAAACAAACCGGGTCAGCCCGGACTCCCGTCCCGCTGCTCGTGTTCGGCTGGTGCTGCTCGTCAGGGCCCGGATCAGAAACGTGAAGATGGGCATCAGACCTGCGCGGCTGCTCCCCCCCTGCGCCTGACTGACTGGCTGACGGCTCGGCGGCTTAATCCAATTCAGGAGATCATCTTTTCTCCCTCCTGAGGTCAAACTGTTGAGACCAGGTAAGGCGCAGCGGGAGCTGCGAGCCGCTCATTGGGTTTATTTATAGAGCTCTGCGTTTTCTCCCTGAATCTGCTGGTCTCCATGATGAGCCCAGAAAGAATCGTTCCGCAGGTTTCAGGAGCGGATCTGAAAGGTCGTTCAGTTCCCTGACATTTCCAGGAGGCAGCTGTCATCACCAACCGAACCGGTTCTAATTAGTCGGTTTGCAGCTGCAGCCTTTAATATGATTAAAAACCAACTAAACGATTAATTGTTCCATTTTCATACTGGCTGTTTATGATGTTCAGCCAATGTTTTTTTTTTTTTTTTGTCACCACTTTTTGCACAATCGAAAAACATTTTTATTCCACTTAACATTTTCATGCAACCTTTCATTTTGATCTATGATATTAAAGTGATTCTATGTTTACGTTTGTGTTGGTAGGACAGGAAAAAAAGGCTCTTTCCTGCTGACTTTTTTGCTACATTTAGCAACTCTTCACACAGAGTTATTGGGCAGAATCCGGGTCGGCAGGTTGTAAGGTTCTGTATCATGTAAAATAGATTTTAGTTTTTCTTTCCATCATAGAGCTTTTCCCTCATCAAACACAGACCTGATTCTTTTATGTATGGCAACCATTCATTTGTGCCTGGTTGGACCCAGACACGCCCTCTCAGTTCCTTCAGACTAGCCAACATTAATTAGCAAACACCTGGTGGAACTACTGTCGTTATAGGAGCTGCTTCTCAGAGCAACGCTGGAGAGAAGGTTGATCAGGGATTGATAGCCGTTGTGATGACTTCCTGAAGGCAGAGATTCAGAAAGGGCAGGAGTTTCTTAAAGAGACAGAGGCCCAATTTCAAACTACAAAGTCAAATTTCCTTTGACTCATATTTATAGCATATTTATTACAACTGAAGGTAAGATAATTGGTTGTTTGTGCTATAAAATGGCCTGTAAAACACATAACATAAAGATCTGATTGGCTGTAATCGCTTCACCGCTGGAAACAAAATGCGTAGCCGCCACCTTGGCAGGTACTGATAATAGGTTTTGGCCTGGAGAGCGATCTGGGCGTTAAGCAGATTAGAAACCAGTTTGACCCACTGGGACCCAACTACTCCCAGTTCACGGCCCGTTGGGTGCAAAGGAGGGCAGAGTATCAACACTGACACCATCGCCTGAGTTCAAGTACTTCAACATACTTTTACTCAAGTTAAAGTAAAAAGTATTTTGTTAAAAATCTACTCAATTACTGAATAACTGATCAAATTATCAATCTGTTACTATTTAAAAATTACATGATTTGATAAACCAAAATGTAAAGTTAAGTGGAAATTTTGCTATTTTTAAGAAGAAAATGACAATAATTCATGCAAGTAACAAAAAATAAAAAATTTTCTAAATCCGTTTCTTTCAATAAAACGTTTTAAACTTTAACAGGAGCTGCTGGTGAGTTTCTGGTTAAAACATGTTTGTTTTTCATTCAGTGGGTAGAAAACAGACTAAAATAAGATCAGAGATACTTCATAATAAAATAACTCAAATTACAGCATAAATATTCCTAAAAGTAGATTTGTTCAAAAAAATGTAGTAACTACCGAGCTCTGCACGTCTGATGTTACCTGGTTAGGTAACGAGGCTCAGACCTCGTCCCTCACTCAGTCGCTGCTTTATTCCACCCAAAAGGTGAATCGGACCGTTTGGGTGTCGTCTGTCTGTCTGTCTCTGTCTGCTTATGCAACGGCTTCAATGACGCTCTAGTGTGTTGCTGTTGTTGGGGTGGGGTTTGAGGCGCCGGGTTCCAGGTGAAGCATCATGGGATGCATGTGTGCTTTTTGCCCAGCAGCAGCTCTGCCAGGTAAAATGAGACGGGCGTTATGCAACGCTCCTTGGAATCTCCTGACCGGCTGACACTTTCCAAGATTTAGCATTTCAGTGATGCTGCGTGGCTGGAAGCCTGCAGAGGCTTCTCAAGTTAAAGTAAAAAGGTCACACAAACACAAGAAGACGACCCCTAGTGGCTTCCTGAGAGCCCTGCAGGGCCGAAATGATTAATCGAACTAATCGTGATTAATCGAACTAATCGTGATTAATCGATTATCGAAATAATGGTCAACTGATTTAGGAGTTGATCAGACAGACTGAAGAAATGGAGCAATTGAACCAAAACTGCTTCAAATGTTTAGTTTATCTGCTCAGTAATAAATTAAACATGCAATAATTTAATGAAGCAACAAACCGTTTTTATTATCTTAACAAAAACATTTTACTAACTCAAAAAAAAAAACATTTACTCATATATCAATCCCTTTAACTGCCATATTTTATTTGTTTTGTGTTAAAGTGATTTATTTTTATATATTTTCTCTTATATTTGTTCTTTTCAGACGAGCGGCCTCAAAAAATTGGTTGCAAGAGCCACTCAGGGCCCCCTGACCACACTTTGGACACCCCTGATTTAAAGTCTAATGGAAGAGCAGAACAGAAAGAGGAAAAATGTTAAATATTGGAGCTAGATATGCATTGATATGAAGATTTGGGCCGATATCCGATAATATCATAAATGTTTTTGTGTGCCTACATACAGACATGGCAACCTGCTGGTCCAGAACCGGGTTTCTCATCTGGGACGGACCACATGTTGGCCCAAAACATGAATAAATCACCGCGTTGTGTTAATGGCCTCTGGAGATGCGCATTAGTCATGTGAACTGGAACATCTTCACATCAGACCCTCTCTAAGAGTTCAGCTTTTATGAGGCCATCCCAGGATTTCAGATTTGAAAATCTCTTCTTAAAACATGAACTCAGATTATTCTCCTCAGATTTTCAATGTGGATTTACACAAATTAAGAAGTTTTATTTTTAGTATTTTGACATTTTGAAACTGCAACAAATTTAGTTGCACAAATTTCACTGGACGATAAATAAATCACCCTGGTAGTTATTGCGATAAATGATAATATTGTTATTTTGAGAAAATTTTAAAGTAACATATTGATAATGGCTCGATAAAACAGGTTTGGCCTCAAAGATCAATAAACCTTCGTTTCTAAAGATCAATTAGCTCTGCAATTGGAAGATATTTTAAATATTGTATAATCTATCGTGCAATTAGTTGATTTATTGCTTATTATGGCAGAGATATCCCCTGGTTTCTCACTAAACCTTAAACCAAAATATCAATATTCTAAATCTCTGAACATTTGATTTCTTGGTTTTCCAGTAAACCGGATGGAAACCGGATGAAACCTGGACGTTCCTGTTTGTGTTCGGCTAAAAGCTGCTGTGGTTTGGAACAAAAGGCCCCAAAGGGCCGAGCGACGGCTCCCTGCTCTCATTTAAACTTCTGCTGCCGTTTTCGGCTCTCCGTCGATCTTTGAAGGGGTTTCCTTTCCTCTCGTTTGATGGGTTCCCTCCTTTGTGTGTCTGCGGCGAACCCAACAGGAAGTCGAACCCTTTCCTACGTCAGGTTGAAGCTTCCTCCTCCCACCGCTTCCCTGAGACTCATAAAACATGTCCTGATTCCTTCATTATGATTCATCGTTGTCATGCAAAATTAAAAAAATGATTAGCTTAGTGATTAGAAGTGTTTGACATTTTGGTAAATCAGAAAATAAGATTTAAATGCTGTATGCAGCTTAGTGATATTAATCGCCAGTCAATGTTAATAAAATACTTTTTGTTTTTTTAAGTAGTGGCCTGAAGAAGCTTATTTCTGACAGTCAGAGAAATAAAGAGTAAATAAACAACAAAAATATCAGAAAATTTGAGTTTAATCTGATATAATCTATAAAGTTTTATAGAAGAAAATTTGGAAAATATTTAGAAATTTCTGAGTTTCAAAAGTCAAGAATTTTTGATTGTTGAATCCAGAAATTTCCAATTTTTCGTCAACAAAATTTCTGAACTTTAGATAAAATTGTGATTTTTTTGTTTCTAGGAATTTTTCAACTTTTTGAACTTAATTCTAGAGATTTGTCTGCAAATTTTCTACAATTAAAGTCAAAATTTCAGATTTTTTAAGCTAATTTTTGACTTTTCAAACTCCAACTTTTCTGTATTTTCTCTAGAAAATTTCTGAGATTAATTTCAAAACTAAATTTTTTGTAGGTCTATAATTTTAACGTTTTGAATGCAGAAATTCAAATTTTATGCTTCAAAGTTTTGAGATTCATCTAAAAATGCCACTTTTTTCTAGCAAATTTCAAGTTTTCAATCTTTTCTACTTTTTCTAGTACATGTCCTTTGGAGGAAACAAAGTTTTTTCCCTAGAAAATGTCTGAAATTTTTTGTTTTCTGTGTAGTTTTCAAATAATTTCAAGAACAATATTTGTGTGTTTGGTGGTATAAATGCTGCCACGGTCCTGCAAAACTATTTATTACCAAAAAATAAGTAACCGATTAAATTTTTTATCACAATCGTTCCACACACACCTCGGGTCGCTCTGGGGTGAAACTGACTGCAGATTCTTGTTTAGTCTGAAAATCCTGTGTGACTGATTCCAGTTCAGCCGTGTGTGTGTGTGTGTGTGTGTGTCCGTGTGTGTGTGTGTGTGTGTGTGTGTCCGTGTGTGTGTGTGTGTGTGTGTGTGTGTGTGTGTGTCCGTGTGTGTGTGTGTGTGTCCGTGTGTGTGTGTGTGTGTGTGTGTGTGTGTGTGTGTGTGTGTGTGTGTGTGTGTGTGTGTGTCTGTGTGTGTGTCTGTGTGTGTGTGTGTCTGTGTGTGTGTGTGTGTGTGTGTGTGTGTGTGTGTGTGTCTGTGTGTGTGTGTGTGTGTGTGTGTCTGTGTGTGTGTCTGTGTGTCTGTGTGTGTGTGTGTGTGCTGGACGCTGCGCCTGTGAGTGGCTCTCTGTTGGAGAGGCGCTCTCCTCTCTGCTCACCATGAAGACTCTATTGTCCGGCAGGATGACGGCGCTCTGCAGCTCACACTCTCATTGTTTCAGTGTTTTATTAAAGTAAACACGTTCATGACCTCGGGGTTTCCCTCTAACACTTGCTCAGCCCGGTTGTTGGGT